TTTGGCCTGCCCAAGCCCCCTCCAATGTGTTTTGCCTACCTAATGTGCACACCCTGCCTGACCCCCATCCCCATGGCAATGCCCCCCCTAATGTGTCTGTGCCCTGCCTGATACCCCAATGTCTACCCATATTTGTGTGCCCTGCCCAACCCCAGTGTGTGTCCCCCCAATATCCGTGTGCTCCCTAATGTTTATTCCTTGCCACAGCCCCCCAATATCTGTGCCCCTCGAATGTGTGTGCCCTGCCTGAGCCCCAATGTCTATATATGTTCTGCCCGAACTGCAATGTCTCTGTGCACCCCAATATTTGTATGCCATGTCCAATACTACGCGCACTGTACCCCAATCCTCCTGATGTCCGTGTGTAATGCACAGTGTCTGTGTCCATCCTGCCTAATGTCTGCGTTATGCCCTGTCCATTCCGTGTCCCTCTGTCTGTGTCCATCCCCACAACGCACCGCATCTCTCTGTCCATCCCCACAACGCACCGCATCCCTCTGTCCATCCCCACAACGCACAGCGTCCCTCTGTCTGTGTCCATCCCCACGGAACGCACAGCGTCCCTCTGTGTCCATCCCCACGGAACGCACAGCGTCCCTCTGTGTCCATCCCCACGGAACGCACAGCGTCCCTCTGTGTCCATCCCCACGGAACGCACAGCGTCCCTCTGTGTCATTCCACCCTCGGTTGCACAGTGTCTTGTGTGTCTTCCTGTTCTGTGTCACCCTTGATGTTGTCACATAGACCCCGGCGTGTGTCCTGCGTTGTGTTCCGTCATGTGCGGAGATTTCTCCCTCTGATGGTTTGTTGCCGGGTGAGGTGGGAAGGAGCCGGGTCTCTTCTCTGCGGTCTCTCCGCTCACCGGCACCATCACATCCTCCATTTATCGGGCCCGCGGGGACTCCGCGCCCTCTACAATGTTCTCTCACCTGGAGGGAAGTGATAGTAAATGTTCCTCTGTCTCTCTGTGGACTGGCACAGTCCGGTGTCATGGTGATGTATTACGCCGCTCAGCCCCGCCTCCTGCTCAGGTCTGTCCGTTGTCGGCTGTTCCAGAATTGTCTATTGTTAGTATATAAATGTATTATTATTATTTGTTACATTTATATACAATGTGGAGTCACATGACCGGAGAGGTCCATGTGAGCGCCGCGTCCTGTATGAGAGGTTTCTGTCGCCTCGAATCGTATTCTAGAAATCTTCCGGACAGCAGAAATGAGGGCGACGCAGGGCAGGTGGGGACCCCGAATTCGCCTAGAATCTGCCTTCTGAGCTATTGTGCATTTACTGAGCATGTGACATCACCGCACGGTGGGGACCCCTGTGACCAGCTCTCGTTAACAATGATGCCGCGTGGTATTCTGCTTTTATCATGTATGACTCTTAGAAGATGATGTTGGCACACGGAACGTGCGTGACATGCCGTGTGGTATATTTGCATACCAGGAACGGTCAGACATCCCCGGTGTGATCTATAAGAGAATGTCAATGGATTCAAAGCCCAGCTCTAGCCAAAAATGTATATTTTGTTGTGGATGAGGCGAGGAAGGATATGATCCGTTGTCAGGTTTTCATTGCCATCGGTGTCCCATTTGGGGAGATTTCGCTTTACTTCCTGTCATGTCGGGCCACCAGGAGGCGGCGCTATAGAGGAGGCATCGGCGTATGCGGCTCTGCTCCCTCCGGTGCCGTCTCGCTTCCTCTAGCGGCGGCTTCGTTGGCACCGCTGATTCTCTCCCGCGGCTCTTCAAGTTCCCCCTTATGCCACCACCGGCCCTGGGATCGGTCACACCTAGGTCTTATTTTCAGGGTAGGTCTTATTTTCGGGGACACAGGGTAATAGTTCTTGTGAAATGATATTTTGTAGGGTGAGGGAAGGCGACACGGATGGACTTTGTATCTTCCCGGACGATTTATGTGAACGTTTTATTTGCTGTCCACTAATGATACTTCTTGTTTTACTTTCAGATAAAAACTTTGATGATGAAGATTCAGTTGATGGAAACAGACCTTCATCAGCCAGCTCTACCGCATCGTCCAAAGCACCTCCCTCTGCGCGCAAACCGGTAGCCATGGGGACAGCTCGGAGACCGGGAACGTCTACAGGGGCCACCAAGCCAGGAGGTGAGTTTCGAGAAATACGCGTCACGTGAGGTGAGAACTTGTGTATCCTCTCAGTGTGCACGTCATCCATGTGGCCGCAGCCTCTCCTCTCCCCGGCTGACACTGAGCCGGGTAGGTGAGTTATGATTTTCTGGAATGAAATGACCTTTATGCGCCGTCTGAAGAGTTTTCAGCAGTGATGACGCCTTGAGGATGCAATTCGGCTTCTTCCAGGAGAAATCGATATCGGCTACAAGATGCTGCTGGAATAAGCACCGTCTGCCGCTTTCCACTGTACGGATCAATGGTGATTTGTGCGTTCATGGAACAGATGAATAATAATGAAGCACCATCACACTCGCTCTCGCATCGCGTGGTTAAGCAGCCGAAGAGCTATAGGAGCAATGGGTGGCAGACTGGGGAGGGGGGCAGTTCAGAGGGCGACGGGCATATACTTCATGGAGTGAAATGGGAATGGCCCCGATCACATGGAGGTGTCTTTGGTAATCTGACGCAAGGTTTGTCATTCCAATCCTTAAACATCCTTTAATATGAGAGTTCATGTATCATTTAAAGTATTTTTATTTCCTTCATCCATTTTTGTGATCCGGACAGTTCTGTCTACCCGGACGGGAGACCTGATTTTTCAGCTGATTTGTTTGTCACAATGGACTGGCACCGTGTTATTGAGTGCTCAATGAATTGTGATCTGACCATGTTTCATGTTCCCCCGAGGAAGTGAGAGGAAATCTCCAACTGCAACGCAGACAAAAAATAAATGTCGGAGTAATGGGACGCAGGATCCCGGGCAGCTGTATGCTTCAGACTCTGTCCCTGTTACAGAGTTTCCCTCACTTCCTGTCTGGTGAAATTGCTGATGAGTAAGAGGAAATCTCTGTAAAGGTGGCCATACACCTTCCGATTATCGTGGGAAATCCTGCGATCGTACGATAATCGGCAGGGGTATGGAAGGCGTGCGACCGGTTCTACTGTACGGTCGCACGTCTTTTGTCTTACGAGCATGTTGGAAAACCAGCCGAACATCGTAAGATTTTCGGACGTGTTTGTGGCGTGCTTTTAAGACAAATGCCGCAGACAAATCCCCTCAGCGGCGCCAAATATGTGTTCTTATTGTTTAAAACTAATCCTTGGTACAGAAATAGATATAACCTAGCAAAAGTAGCAGTGACACCATCACTATGCTGTACATAGCCTGTGCAGTGGTGTGGGAGGTACTCCCTAGGCCCCACCCACTACAGGCTGCATGCAGAAAACTACAGGAGGGGGTGGAGATGAGACCAGTCACCCTGCACAAGGAGAGAGAGCAGCAGTGACCGGTCTTTATTACAGGAGGGGGCGGAGAGGAGACCAGTCACCCTGCACAAGGAGAGAGAGCAGCAGTGACCGGTCTTTATTACAGGAGGGGGCGGAGAGGAGACCAGTCACCCTGCACAAGGAGAGAGAGCAGCAGTGACCGGTCTTTATTACAGGAGGGGGCGGAGAGGAGACCAGTCACCCTGCACAAGGAGAGAGAGCAGCAGTGACCGGTCTTTATTACAGGAGGGGGCGGAGAGGAGACCAGTCACCCTGCACAAGGAGAGAGAGCAGCAGTGAGCGGTCTTTATTACAGGAGGGGGGCGGAGACAATACCAGTCACCCTGCACAAGGAGGGAGAGCAGCAGTGACCGGTCTTTATTACAGAAGCAATGTCCATGTATCTTGTAGCACTCCTTACCGGATATCCCAAATAATAACAGGTGCTTAAAATGACTGCAGATGGCACGGCTCACAGTGAAACTTGAATAAAGATAACACCAGCACGAGAGTTTCCAAATCGGTGCAAATCCATTTTTATTGATGTCACTGAAATTATTTGGAGGGGGCGGAGACAAGATCAGTCACTCTGCACAAGAAGAGACAGCAGCAGTGAGCGGTCTTTAACCACTTCAAGACCAGGTGTTTAGACCCACTTCCTGGCCAGGCCATTTTTCAGTATTCAGCGCTGCGATACTTTGACTGACGTTTATTCCGTCATGCAGCGCTGTACTGAAATGAATTTTATACCATTTTTTTGGGGACAGATAGGGCTTTCTTTTGGTGGTATTTAATCACCACTGGGGGTTTTATTTTTTATTATAATTAGGAAAAATTATTGAAAATTTTGAAAAAAAAACGTTTTTTGTAACATTATGTTAGGAAACATTTATTATTACCCAGTTTTTTGGTCAAATATAAAAGATCAGGTCACGTCGGTTAAATAGACACCAAACATGTCAAGCTTTAAAATTGCG